ATAGGACACTCTTTTTTACTTTTTAGTAGTCATAGCCAGTGTCTTTGTATGCTTAGTATTATTATTAGAGTTTTGAGTAGAAACATTTTTGATGATAAAGTTTTTAAAGAATATTTTTAATTGTTGAATGCAGGCGATGCAACAGCTATGGTGCATTACAAACTTGGTATTATTTTTCTTTAATTAATCATTAAAACATATTAAACAATGCATTGCTAATGACTTAGTAAAATTCATCTTTTAGCTTCTTTCATGTCCCAAAGTCCATCGCAAAGATAGTGAATGCTCTCAACTGCAATACCTTTATTGACAAGTCGTCTGCGGTACATTTAAAGATAAACAAAATAAACTAAAGCACATTTTTGCTTACATATTTTCAGTAGTCATCTTTGTTAGCCCAATGCATAACGAATGCTCTTTACCCTCAGCCATTATAGCCTTAAATATTAAGGAACAAAACAGTGCATACAATTAGTAAATTATTAGCATATTGTCAGTAAACTATCGGTATACTTGAGGATACTACAATAGTATCTTCAGGTAGGTCGGTTTCCATTTTAGCGCCTTGTGACGTCAAGCCAGGGCACATAATGTTGGCGCCACTCAGAATAAATTTAATCGCACCTCTGTCGACCTGTAACCATGGCAACATGAACGGATCTAAATTAGCAATAAAAAGAGCAAAAAATTTACGAGACTAACTAACATTTATGTAGGAGTCTCAGCGTTGGAATATACGGTCCATCTCTTTGCTTGAAAAATAATAAATCAGTCTGGACTGAGACTAATTCAATGTGATCCCGGCTAATAGGGGATAGGGACACGTGGACGCACGTGGGTGCATGACATACCATTTGATGACGGTGACGGGTTCTTTCTTTGGCAAGATGTCGTCAATGTATTGCTCAATGCTAGGATACTGCTCAATGACTTTGCTCCTTATGCCACGGACCACTGAGGACTTGGCCTGGTTCTGACCCGTCACGTCTTCCAAATGAGAAAATCTAAAAAGCGAAAAGAACAACAAAAATGATAATAACAAAAACAAGAATAATTTTACTTCTTAAACATTATTCAATAGGCGTGGTTTTTTTGGTGGGTGTGGTTAATTATAATTTCAAGATGGCGGGTTTTCTAGAAGCTTGTCAGCATTGTTGCTATTATTGTCTCCGAGGTCTCTATTGGGTACCCGTCGGTTTTGTGGTACTAATATTGACGTGGGGCTACTATGTATACGTGTACACTTTACACTTATCAGGTAAGGCAGGGAAAGGAGGAAAATGGCTACTAACTTTTGAGTGACTTCTCTTCTTAGGTGAATTCGTAAAGCCTATTCCAGTCAGTGGTGAGTTACTGATACTTTTGTTTTGCTTTATTTATTTATATTGTCTAGTTTTATTCCTATTCATTGGTCATATCTTACTCTTTCTTCACGTTTCGTCATATGCGA